GCCCCTGGTGTTATTTGTCACTCCCGAGATGTTGGTCCACGATTTATGTAACTATACGGCTCTGTACGGCTTTAGTACCTGCAAATGCTTCTACGTGCGTGATGAGGCAGGCACACATGTACATCTAAAACGGAGCTGCATGCGCATGCAGTACAGCATACAATCGTAAAGCCTAAAGATTATCCGGCGCCGTTTTGGCGGCTTGTCTTCTAGCTCGAAGCCCGGCGTAGCCCCCGTCTCCGCCATAGCTTGCGGCTGCTGAAAAAGGCAGTACCCCTTTGGATCCGAAAACCCAAACTGCTTCTTTACGGTCTTTGAGAGAACTGCTGAGCCACAAGCCAGTGAAGCCGAATAAAGGACCGCACATTCGGAGGCCGAACCGCAAACCTCACCACAGAACAGCATCAGACTCAGAAAGTCACAGTCGAAGCTGGCTCCCGAACTGTACATGCCCTGCAACCGCCGTACGCCCTGCAAACGCTCAAGAAGATTCTGAGGCACGTGAAGAGAACGTTCCCTGAATGGGGAGCAGGGGCGCTGCAGGTTGAGATCGCGAGCAAGCGAGCTAGGGGGACAGTGAGAGATAGAAAGAGAGAGAGAGAGAGAGAGAGAGAGAGAGAGAGAGAGAGTGTGAGTGACATAATACTCCGTAAACGCTGGGGAACTAACTGGTTTTCTCACGCCTTCCCAAAAGCCCCATAACATGTGGGGGGCCCATGAGGCCGGAGGGCCTAAACAGCCCTCTAAGTCCCGCAAAAGAAGTGTGAGTGAGTACAAAATGCACAGAAATCTGAAAATAGAACACAGAAGGAAAGGAATGATCCTCAAGCTCTGTGAATTTAAAACTCGAAGTTTAAGCCTCGAGCGATTTGAGACCCACCGTTGCATCATGCGGGCCCACGGGTCGAACCGTTGCAGGCTCCGCCGGATTCCTTAGAGCTGGATGTGGCGGAGCCCACGGTGCAAGACTCCACACAGGCCAGTTTTGGGGGTAAAGGGCTTGCAAGTAAGGGTTTAATTATGGTATGTTTAGGGTTTAGAGCTTTGGGGCCACCGGCTGTTTATAAGGTTTCTGGCGCTAGCATAGAGGTTGCAAGACAGATCTTTGTAACTTGGCTGCGCGAACTTAGTGTTCAGTTGTCGATTGCTTGGAGCAGTTCGGAAGCTCATGCTGTCTGTTTCAGCCACCGTTATAGCTTAGGCATCTAGAATCTAGATAGAGTATAGGGATCTGCGTCCTTGACCATATTTTCAGACTCAAGAAAATGTTGTACACGTGGCTTCCAGGTCTTCAGTGTTGAGCGGAATGACCATGAAGAGAGCTGCCAATCCCGGTGTTTGCCTCAAACCGTGCTCTAGTCTCCCTCATTAATGTAATGATGGGAATGTAGCCTCTATCTAGCTCAGAGGACACTGTTGCCACAGTTCGGCCACTGTTTGGGCAAGCAGATTCAGGGTACCCTGGAAAAAGAAGGAATGACGAAGCATGTACTGTTGCGCTGAAAGCCCTTTCAGTTCGCAGAATGGCCTTTGCAGGGTGCCTTCTGCCGCCGGCTTGTCCCAGACAGAAGCTGTTCTCAAGTTCTCAGTCTAAGCCTAAGTTAAGTGCTACTCCATCAACCCCACATCAGACACAGTCGTTGAACTAAGAGCTACGATAGCATCTGGAACCTTAGATGCAAAAAGCCCAAGCCTCTACGGAAACACCCAAATCCCAACCCCCGCAACCCTAAGCCATGAATCTCGAAGCGGAGAGAAGCTCGGGGAGGCGCCTGCGCCGCGAGTCCAAGCCACGGCCAGCGCTGTGCAGCTCCCTGCCTCGAACATGGGGTCTTTTGTTGAAGTAGTTCGTTTAGGGTTTCATAAAACCGATCTAAATCAAATAGAATAGGGTGGATCGAGTGATGAGGTCTTGTGAAAAAATGTTTCATGCTGTGTCTGCTTACGGCTTATGTGCGTGCATACAAACGTGTACAATCTAACATACGCTTTCTGCATTTTGGTAGATAGGCGGGTAGATAGGTAGGGTAGGTGGATAGGTTGGGAGTTAAACTGCAAGCTAGATCAGTAGGTAGGCAGGTAGGTGGGGCATTCGTAATCACCAGTCGGTGGATAGGCAGGTAGAGAGAGACTGAGAGAGACAGAGAGAGAGAGAGAGAGAGAGAGAGAGACAGACAGAGAGAGACATGTGCATTTTTGCGCAAAGGCGCATATGCGTACTCGCAAATGAAAATACCAGGGCATCTCTCTCTCTCCGTCTCTTGTAGTCGAGATTTGTGATTGTGTGCATGTGTGCGCACAGGCCTGTGTACCCACATCCACTGCTGCGCATTTGCATGTGTACTTCATTTACAGACGTTAACACTTAACACAGAATACCCACATATGGCATGCACCCACGCACGGACACACGCACGCACGCGCGCTTCCAGGCACGAGCCTGCCGGCATCGTACATGCCGGCCTGGCGAAAGATTCATTTCAGTCGTCACTCCTTGTGGATGTTAGCAGACGTGGTCCGTACCACAGTGTCATCACCATGTACATAAATCCCCGTGGTAAGTGAAACTAGGAACTATATAGTAAATAGGTGACAGGGGTGGGAAGGGACGGCATGACGGGCGGGAAAGCAGAAAGCGAAGGAGGAGGTTTTGGTAAGGCCCACATCGCGTCAGATAGGGCTGAAGCTCAGGAGCGCCATGGTAATGGGGCAGCCTGGCCCTCGAGAGCATCTAGGGTGATGGGATCTTTTTGGCTTGGGGCAGTTGAAGTCTTCTAAAAGGGGACTGAAGTTCTATTTATGGTCCTTCAACGTCCTTCATGTTGGTTCTCCAATTCTGATGTTCGTTGCACCTTTGAAGGCGCTACTATTACATGGGCCAATATTAGCCTGGGGTTCGATCGTGAGTTGAGGAAGGAAACTTTCCTAGCTTTGGGAACGTTGCGGCATTGGTTGTTGGATCATTTTGTGCAGTTCATGTCCGCACAAGGCTACGTTTTGGGTTTCAGGGTGGCCCCGATACCTTCCGGTGCGCACGCCCTCCAGCAGATAGGAGTTAATTGTAGACCATAAGGGAGCCTTATATGCAAGCCCTGACACGCACAAACACGGGACGTTTCATGTTGAACAACATCCAGATGGCACCCCACCTTGATTTGAATGTGTACACTTGGTGCTCCCTGCTTTGTTGCAAGGGGCACAAGCTACAACATGAAGCCTCAGCATCAATCCAGATCTCGAGGCTTTACACTCTGCAAGGAACTCAATGCGATCTGCAACGCTAAAACCCCAAACCTTTTCTGCTTTGGGAGAATCCGGGCCTGAATTGGATTGCAGCCCTTTTCACGCTTCGTAGCTGAGCACGACAGGTACAATAAGCAACGCATAGAAAGCTAATCTTGCGTGGTCCAGGGAACCCAGCAGGTAGGCTCCACAAAGTCTATGTGCTGAAATGCTGCTCGGGAACTCCGAGTCGATCTTCTTGGCAGGTCGGTTCTGCTTCAGAACCGTCTTATGTACCAGCTGCTTTGAGGAGCTTGAACGAAGCAGCGGGCTGTGTATCCCAGGCTCTTATGAGTTCGTGTAGTACTTACAGAGGATGCTCGGCTTGTTTCCTGGGTTTCCAGAAGATTTTGTGTACTAAGCGGCTTCAGGCATACACGGCCACGTAGTAGGCGATTCCAGAGGTCGAAGGACCTTTCGAAGTGCTGCCAAGACGACAGCCAACCACAACAGGAAAAAAGTATTTTATTTGCATGCTAGTGTGCAGTGGCTGATCCCTGAGTCATCTACAGACACCTACTAGTTAGTTCTGGTCTTGTGATTCACAAGCTCCACACCATGGCTTTCAGAAGATCAGCCTGTCCAGAGAATGCAGATGCAAGGCGAATCATATGCGACGCTCGCGTCGAAAAGAAGAGTGCCTCCCTCCGAGCATGGCAGTGGACGCAGCAAGTCAGAGCACCTCTGCACTACATTGTCGCAACCTTCTTAGAGGACCCTGTTCTCAAGGCTCACTCATAGTATCTCATAATTATGTACCTTTCCCTGCCGACTTCCCAGGCCCGGATTCAAGAAAGGCTCTCGTGGTTCCTTGGGACTCCCATTCTGAGGTGGCATCAAGGCTTCATTACATGTTCTTGTTGCTGTGTTGGACAAGGCCGAAAACGCTGCGCGATAAGCAGCCATTCGGCAGGTTTTGCAGATAGGGCTGCCCAGATCATGCAGCATGTAACACATGCATGAGTGTAAGCTTAGCTGTGCTGATGCAGTTGAATGGCATTGTCTGCGCCATGAAAAATGATGTGGAGTTCGTGTCCGTGTGACGGTTCCTTGCAGAATATCGGACCGGTTCGCGGCGTTGCAGCTGGCAAGCTACATGCAACATTTATCAGTATGCAGTAGTTTGTGAATGGTCTGCCAGGTTCCAAGAAGTGTATGACGACTTGCTGCTGATGATTGCACTGCAGTGGGCCTATCTCAGAATAGCAAGGTAGAAAGTTCAGGGCTTCGGTCCCCCGGCCCCGTAGCGGTGTAGTAAGCCCAAGGCCCTCCTAAACCGTCATTGCAAGCTGGAGCCTGACACCTGCTGCGTCTGCTTGGCTGAAAATGCAGGAGTAAACCGGCCAGCCAGGAACCCGCGCAAGACACTGTATTTCATGTAGGACATCTATTGGTCCGTAATAGTCCTTACTATGAGCTTTTGACCTACAGTTAGAGTCGATACCTGTATTCCTTTGGGGTTTGTTCCTTTAGGGTTTAGGGTTTAGGGCTAATCAGTCTTGGTCAAAACGGCTGATGAGCGGCAGCACATGCAGAGGCAAAGTGTGACAGAGACCAGCTAGACATGGCTTCTGCCTGTGCGGCCACCGAACGCCCTGAAGCCCTGAGTTTCGGATTTTAGGGTCTCCGATGTCGGGTAGAATCCGAAAGCACTACCAAAATTCGACCTGAGCTTCTTCAGCAGCTCCTAGAGATAGATTCTTTGGCAAGTCTGAGCCATGCAAGCTGCCGGCTTCGTCGCTGTCTTGGCCTCCGCATCTTGGTGGACGAACACTATAGAAAAAATCTGTCGCCGACCGGACACACCATAGTATGCTGTACGAAAGCATTTTACTCAACAAAGAAAATGCTGAGCCATAGTGCACTCAAGCTTGCACAATTTGCACAGTTCTGCAGGGCAGAAAGACTGCCGTATGTTAACTGTTTAAAGTCATGCTCAGGGCTTCTGTAGCTTTGCTGTGCGGAGTCTTTGAGGAGGTGCGGACATGGCTTGGCTGGTTTTCGAACGAATATATTCAGATAAACAAGACGTGCTTGATGGTGTGATGGTCCAATACCAAAGTCCACGACAACTTGTGTTCAGGAGCTGGAACGCAAACATGGTATGTGTACCTCACGCTTGCTGTGCACTCAAGCCTGTCGTTTCTACATGCGTCCCAGGGTTTCAATTCAAGAAACCGACACTAGCACAATACGATAACACAGTACCATATATTATATTATTGTCTGATTCTAGTCTATAGGTATATACTCTACAATATATATATATATATATATATATATATATATATATATATATAAATGAAGTTTACAATCATCACCAAAACCAAGGCGCTGCTCTACGGCCCCCTGGCACTGAATAGTTGGAGAGCTCCCGAAATAATTCGATTCAACTGCTGTGTGGGCACCTGCATCCTGACCCCGTCATGTCCGTGCAGTTGATTTTGCCCCCTTTGCCAGTGTCTATGGTTCCGGCCATATTTGTCTGTAGACCGTCGCTGCAGAGCTAAAGCTCGGTGGTAAGCGGCTAAGCCTTGCATGACCGTGCTGTTGCAGCAGCAGCAGTACCGGTGACACCCTGGAAGGTTCATACTTTGTGCCTGTTCCGGGCTCAGCAGAGAGATGGCTCGGTTCCGCTGGCGGTGGCTTGCAATTTTGAGATCAGAGCGACAGGACAACCCTAAGCGCTGGCGGTGGGCACATTTGACTACTTGGCTACCCCACCCAGGAGTACAGATAGCATGAGAGCACACGGGAGATCGCCGCAGCTGCCAATCACAAGGCTTCGAAGTTCGAACTCACAGCATGAGCTGCAAAAAAAATCAACAAAGAGCCTCCACACAGCTTCCCCTGGTCGAGCGGAGGCCAAAAAGTATGACATCCATGACGGCCTCGTTTTCCAATGGTACCAGTGGCTTGGCAGACAAATTCAAGCTTCAGCCGAACTGTAGCCAATTGATGACAATCATGGAGTACAAGAAGGTTCATATAAGCAGAAGTTGTTATCCACAGACGCCAGCACGCCTCAATTCCCGAGGTGCAGCGGAATCATGTGCTGTCCTCAGCGCCCGGGTGTCGGACATGCGTACTTCACATGCCGCATGCGAGAATCCTAGATTCAGAAACAAAGTTGGATTACGGAAAATCCTGAATGACTCTGCATCTTCAGGAGGGAATTCCGCAGCTAACGGCAAAAACACCGTGTGCTTTGGAAGCAACCAACCCATCGCAATTATGTCTGTGCTGTCGCACATTTTAGGGCCAGCAAAAACGGGATCGAAGGACCTTACGTCAACTGCCACTCCACTCGTTTCCTCATTCTTCTGTGACACCATTTTAGGGCCAGCAAAAACGGGATCGAAGGATCTTACGTCAACTGACACTCCACTCGTTTCCTCATTCTTCTGTGACACCTGCATCACTGCACAGCAGTATTTGGTCTTCTGTGTGTTTGGCTTTCTACTTGTGCACAGTCGAAAAAGCACTGATGCTTGAATGGTTAGTCTGTCCACAGCTCTCTCTCATTAAGTGTGAGAGCGTGTCTCGTTTTCCTCAACATGCCCTCACCAAGAAAACAGAACACGGTCACGACCAATTCTTCTTTTCGGGTGGGGGCTGTTCCTTGCAAAATCTCCTCTACTGAAGCCTTGCCCGGTGAAAGCTAACGTTTCAGTCTTATAGGGCTTACATATATACCATACATATATATATATATATGTATATACAGATGAATATTAATATAAAGATACATACCAGGCCTCAAGGTTGCAGGTTAGGGCAGGATTTCCTTATCTTCGAACTTCCGAGGCTCGCCGGTCTAATGTGCGCTGCTGTGCGGAACGCCACTCCGCTGAGTTTGAGCCTCTTAAGACTTTTTCGGGGTTTAGAGTGTATAGGGTTTCCAAGTGCTTTTGCTAAGCTGGGTTCAGGAACTTTGAATTATAGGGCTTGCAGGGTCGCAGCCCCTTGGGACGAATCAAGTATAGTAATCAATCCCGGAAGGCAGCTTCTGAAGCCCCTCGAACATGGCCGTGCGACAACATGTCTTGTCGTATATGATCCCCAAGCCCTAAACCCTAGACTCCTAAAAAACCCTAAACCCTGAACTCCTAAACCCGTTCAGCCTCAGCGGCATGCATCCACCGCCAGTACAGCTCTCGAGTCTTGCCAGGTCTGGTCTGACGACTTCCGAAGCTCGCAACCCGGATGCTTCCCAGGGTTGGGTAGCATAGGGGCCCTAAATAATACCCAATAGTCTTGTGGGGGCTCCGTATTATGATGATTATTAACCCAAAGCCCAATTCTAATTATTAAGGGCCCCTATATTAACGCGTAACTTGTGAGGTCACACGCAAAGACAGGCAGTGGGATTTCAAGGTCGATCCGGCAACCTGATTCCAGGGCTTTGCGAAGGATTGTTTGCCTTCCGCCTTCCGTCCATGTTTCAAGCTTCAGAACAACACGAGTCCGAGGACAACGTTGCCTGCGACCACGATTACCATTTATTTTCCTTACATCCGCCACTTCATGTACTATCATGCTACTGCTGCGACGGCGACGAGGGCTTTTTCTTTATCATTGCCCCCTCAGCCAAAGACGACGAATTGCATGCAGACTCGCCACCAACTTGCGACCGGAGGCTCCGGCTTCTACGTTGCCCCAGAGGGCCTGATCTCGGGTTTCCTGTTTGTGCTTCTCGGCTGCACGCAGAGGCGCATAATCTTTTACAGTGCATGGTTATCCATGCATCATGTTTTTGATACTGGCCCTGTTCTAGAGCAGTACCAGAAGCGATGCATGGAGTGGGCATTGGTGCAAGCCCACGAGCAGGGAAGCTGCTCAGCGAATGCAGCAAGTACATGCAAGTACCGTTCCACCTGCGGCCTGAGTCAAGTGAGGGTGTTTCGATACATTCCCAGCTGAGGATTGGCAACATTGTCGCCACGTTTTCCGTGAAGGCCCGCCCTGGATATCACTCGACCGAAAAGCTGTGGCCAACTGACATTAATTAGCCGTGACACGAGGGAAAAGTTTGCAGCCTGACACTTCCCATGAGGCGTGTGGACTTGGGAACTACTACACCGCCTGGGCCCAGTTCCTGCCACAAGTTGGGTTGGAAGCATGCACAAGTCACAGGTAGCATGTAAGTATTGATGCTTGCCAAACCAGCTACAGACCGGCAAGCCTCGGTTGTTACGCTTATAAAAAATCAAAGATATATCCGTAAACTAGAGAGCCGCCGAAGCTTTTTGTCTTTCAGAGGCATGAAAACCCTCAGGTCCACGAGTTCACGAACCTGGGCATTACTTTCGTCATCGGCGCACCCGGGCCTAATTGGATTCTCCTGCAGTTCCATGCCGCTGCAGCAGGGCGCAGGCCGTACTAGATTTGTTTGAGCTTGTGGGCAACGGCATATGAAACTGAACCGTACACACCTAGTGGCACAGTTCAATGTCAAGACGCTTCTGCTCATCGTGCTCGGCCCGTGCCCATCAGCTCCCGTTTAATTCCCACATGATTTCGCATTCTGAGGTCTACGGGAAGTACATGGGAGCTGAGAGCTCAGGAATCCGGAAGCCCTCTTAGCGGCTCTAGGAAGGCAAAGGTGGTCCGCAGGGTTTCAGACTTTCCACCAGCCCAATGATCATCCATCTGCAAGAGAACTAGTCCGAAGCATATCTAGGATCCTGCACTCAGCGAGACGACGATTTTAAACGGTACTTAGAGTCTTCCCGACTCAGTCTGCATGAAAACTCCAAGCCCTCTACCCTGAACATGGCCCTCTTGAGTGAAGCCTCTGTCTGAGACTAGATCCCAGCTTCATTCTTCGCAACGCCCTGCAAGCACCCACAAAGCTCAGCAGCTCTAAACGATGGAATCTACAGTCTGACACAAACAGGATCCTTCGAAAGTGTAAGGCTCCATTGCCACTCAAGGGCGTCTGTGTTCTCTAGGTTCAACGCCCCAAAGTCAAGCTCTCCAGTCCCCTATCTAAGCCCCAAAGATCCCTAAAACCCTAAACCCGAAGATCCTGAGGTCAATGCAACTCCGCCCCGAGAGGCGACGGAAGTGTGCACTTCGGAGAGTCTATGGGTAGCTATCAGTCCGTGTAAAAGATGGCTCTGCGTTTGGGGCCTTTTAAGGCACAAGGCTTAGATGATGAATCGCATGGAGGTAGTGACAAGAAAGCAGCCGTGCCTTGAGAAGGTGGGCGTCGCAGCCATCGGCTTTCTCTTCGTTCTGATCGGTATGATGCCGGCCCGAAAGCCCAGTGAAGCCAGTGCTTGGCAGGGTTTGGTGCACCAGGCTCAGGCTTTGGACTTTGCTGGGGTTTAGGATTGAGGAGTTTGAAAGCTGTGAGGCTTAGCGTTGTAGGGTTTGCGCGTTTAGGGTTATCGAGTTTGGTGTTTCGGGCTTCAGGGTTTGCTTGGGCTGTTCCGTTAGTCATGGCAGTGCGTATGTGGCCTGTTGGTGGCAGACCTTCGGATGTGTCCTCATCGTTCTTGTCGTGATGCTTGGTCGCTATGCTCTTTGTTTGCTTGCTGCGGGTGCCTGCACGCTAAAGTTTTCACACGGCCTCACAATCGGACACCTGAGCCGTGATCTGAGGTGATGTTTATGGAGAAGGACTCGGAGCACATCCCTAGCTCGCGCACACATGCAGTATTATAAAACGGACGGGAGCATTCGGGTTAGTGTTCAGAGTTTTTGGGTCGACAACTCGCAGAACGCTCCAGCGCTAGCTTGACTCTTGCCGCTTGGTGGCCACATCATCCGATGTATCTCAGAGGTAGAAGCGGAGAACGATGTAAGATGCGTCATTGTGAGAAGGCAGTGTAATGCATACATCTCTCTCTCCCTCTCTGTCTCTCTCTCTCTCTCTCTCTCGCTCGCTCTTGGTTCAATTCGGCCAGACTTTCCAGGAGAGCCCAGAACATATAACGAAGGGTACGTGCGCAGTTGAGCTAAGCTGACCTGCTGATGCATGACAGCACAAGGATGTGCCCAATGTCCCATCGCGGAGGGCATCACCAAAGTCAGCTGTGGACAAGACAGAGCTTTGCGGCCTGATTTAGCTCGTTGACGTCGGATCTCTGCATCCGGGGCTGCAGGAACGATGCTCTTCTCTGTTCATCCAGTAACAGTAGAGCATAGTACAACTAACCACTCTACTCAGCACGCAGTGAAAGGAATTTCGGACATTGCTTCGATCGTCAAGCTGTGCCAGCCTGAGGCTGCAATCCCACCCAACACCTTCCCCCTCGTGCGGGGCTTACTGACATGGATGGGTCCGTTGGTTGGGCTTTCGCAGGTTGCGCGCGAGTTGTTCTTTCAGCTCCTAGTCGTACTTTCCTACTCGTAATCAATCTTGAGGCGATGTTCAAAAGCTCAAAATCGCTCAGTGAGAGTCTGCTTCGCCAGCCAGGACAGCTAGTACCCAAGACATGCATGCACTTGGTTCTTCCAGCAGCCTAGGGCCTAACCTCAAACTGACAATTCGACACTGGTACTATGTAATACTATATCCTTTACGCAGACATAATTACAGACACTCAGTCTCGCATTTGAAGCCCAAAAAGCCATCACAGGGAGCCGCCACAACAAACATCCGAGCCGTGGTCAAACTGCGGAAGTGCTGGGATGTCGCCGGCCACGCGTTTGCGGGAGCTTTTGGCAGAGGACAGGGCCGGGGCAAAGGTCAAACAAGCAGAATTGAGATGAGAGTACTATAGCGGCCTGAATAATTGGAATCGGGTTTTGGGGCCCATTAACATATAGTTATAATAAGGAATCCCAAAAATAGTGTTGGTAAGTATTTAGGCCCCTACAGTATCAGTTTTCACAGCAAAGAAACATGTGTTGTTTAGATCACTACACATAACCCTAATTAGTGGCTCGAGGCCCAGAAATTCCTCTTCCATCCTTTTCCCGTCTCTCGGGCCTCCTCTGGTAAAGACATAGTTAGTGCCGCTGCTTGTCCGAATCTGCACTTCAGTCTCCAAAACGTTGGAGGGTAGGTAGCTCCCATTTACTCTTCAAGGTTTGACCTTCGTCCAATAAATTGCGATCCCGTGTCCTCCGTTTCTGTTGCGAACGGACTGCGATGCCTTGTCAAGTTCTAAGGTGTCACTATAAGAGCTGTGAACAAGACCGTGTAAAGTGCAAGAGAAGGGGGCACGCTACGCGTCCCTCGACTCTAAGGGGGCACGCTACGCGTCCCTCATCTTTACCTTTCTATGTGACCGCCCACGCAACGTTTGGCTCAAGTCAATGCCCATAGCTAAGTGCTATAAGTGTCTTCTATCCTGAGCAATCAGAGCTATCCCGTTGCACAGACGAACCGCCGCCGGCAGTGAGTGCAAAAGGAACGGCCGCCGGTTCTGCCTGCATAGGATTGCACGTGTGGAAGTGTAAGAGAGACAGGGTCCAGTCTGTGGAGAGTGCAAGCCAGCCACACCTACATTCATTACAGCTCTGGTGGGGAGAGCAGCAACCTAGTCGAGATCAATCCCCCACGCAGGTTATCAGCCGTACGCGGCTCTGCCTTTCTACAGCAACGACTACTTGATCTACTACGACCACAATGAACTCGGGATCAAGCCAAGATACGACAATGACTTTCGGTGCCGATGTGGCAGCGCCAGCCGTTGGTGAGTCAACAGCTGATGACACAGTGGTGCAATCCGTTGATAGCTCCACGGAAGATGACAAAGGTCAATCTTCTGCGCTTGCCATTGCAAAGGCAGTTCCCAAGGTGAAAGCAAAGAGTCTACCAAGAGCATCTACGCCTTCGCGTCCGACATCCACAGGTTCGAGGACGGGCAAGGCTCCCGAACGACGAGCCGAAGCGTCTGGTTTTCAGGCACCTCGGACTACGTCCAGGGCCAAGGACAAAGGAGTGAAGACCTTGGAAAAGAAGTCAAGACCATCATCTTCGAGAAGCTCTTCAGCACGATCGAGGACTTCGGCTACTCGTGGGCGTGACAAATCCATGACTTGGAATCGGATGGTTACCAATCAACCACGTGATGCTGACGATCTGGATATGACTCTGGACACTATCCCAGCACGTGGCGATGCGTCATCGGTGACCACGCCAGCCATAGCCGATGGTCCGAATGCCTATCAGGAACTGACGATTTCGCAACAGCTCGAAGCATCTAACCTTGCGCAGCAGATGTACTATCGCAGTCAGATGCAAGAATACGAAGGAGTTGTTCAGACCCTGATGGACAAGATCAAGGAGATGCAACAAGAAGATGAAGGATCTGGAATTCGCATTGAAGAATTGGAACGACAACGTGACCATGCATGCTTAGCCATGAGGCACATCAACAATGTCAATCAGGAGATGAAGCGAGACTATGAAACAGCTTTGTTTCGCATGGATGAACAGAACTCTGCTCAACAACGTCAAGCACATGCCGTTGCCGAGGAGTTAGCTCAACAGCTACACGTGTTCCGCACGGAGGCAGCCACTAACTTTGTGCAGTTGGAGGCAAGAGCGCAAGGCGATGGTGAGCTTATGGCACGTGAGTATGAGCGTCTGACTCATGAACTTCATGAACATGCCAGAGAGAACTTGGTCCTCCGGTCGAACACAGCAAGTTCGGAACAAGCCTTACAAGCAATGCAGGAACGATTCCACTTGGTCAAGAACCAGGAGTTGCGGGCCGTGAACGAGATCCAAGGGCTAGCTGGAAACAGCGCAGCCATTGATCAAGAACGATTTCGGCTTCGCGAACGTCTTGGCGAAGAAGAAGAGTACCGCAAAATGGTTGTGAAGAGGATGCAAGAAGCAGAGGACCGTCTTCATCAGAATGAAGATCATGCAAGGCGATCATTGCCTACCTTGCACGACGAGCTGAGTGAACTCAGGAAAACGCTCAAAGCACAAGAAGATCTTCAAGCGAGGACACGCAGCGAATTGGAGGCAGCGCGGAACTCCAACTATGGAGGAGCGACACGGCCTTCAAGCATGCCCATGTCTTCGAGGACTACTGAGTCTGGCTGGGAGCACGTAGGAAAGGAAGTAGTGCCTGCATTTTCCGTAGGAGGTGAGGTACGATCCCCTGAAATACGGTCCCCAAGTCAAGTTAGTCCAGTCGCCAAAGAGAAGTTCGCATTCTCGGAATCGGACAAGGACAAGAACCTTGTGATGGATGGAATTCCATTCACCGGTGGAAACTTCTTCACTGGCCGCAATTCAATGCCAATCGTGGCGGATGCAATGCCCGAGCACTACGTGCCAGGTATTAGCAGCCCAGCACTTGCGCGTTCCACGCCTAGTGCAGCCACTTTGTTCGGCATACCAAGCGGATTTCATGGGAAAAGTGATGCGGCAGCCGTGCGTGATCGACAGCTACGCGAACTCTTGGAGGATCGCGGGATGTTGGGATCGAAGTCCACAGCATCTGCCAGCTCCTCAAGACCTGTTGGTGTCGACGGCATCACCGCATCTACGAAGGGCAACGACCTCATCGGTCCCCCTATTGCCTATGACGATTCCATTCATGAAGCAAGGAGACGTCAGATCGAGAAAGAGGTCGCGGAACGGTACGAGGAGAAGATTGCCGATCTGCGAAGCGAAGTACTCAAGGCCCAGAAAGCCGAACAACGTCTCAGAGCTGATCGTGATGAGTGGAGATTATTCGCTGAAACGATTCAGGAGGATAATGGAGACGATGACGGTGACGAGGCTGGCGACGAGAACGAAGATGGAGAGCACGATGAAGGAACCGGCACGGGGTATGACCCTCCTGACCCGCCTGATGATGATGATGATAAGAAGAAAAGCGGTGGAGGCAAACCTGAATCGGATCCTGGATCTCATGCGCGTGATCCTGATGGAGACGCAGATCCTGAAGTCACGGAAGTGAGAATTTCCAGGAGGGAGGCCGACAAAGTGACCGTACCTCCATGGCCTACTCTCACTCACCTCAACAACTGGCGATCCGTATGCACGGCGAATGTCTTAGGAGCATCAGCCGATCCAAATCATGAGGACTGGATGTTATGGCTGGCACCAGCATTCAACCCATTCCCTGATGTCGAAGCACTGAACGATTCAGGACACAAGAAGTTTAAGAGCGTAGACGTCAAATTGGGGATCGCAATGGTCGCAATGCTACGTGCTGGTGGTGACAAATCTGCTGACCTGTACCTGGAGGTGAACCGGAAGGCCAACGATTACATCAGCAGGCCCGAAGGGAAGATCATCAAAGGACGACAAATCATTGCGATGATGTATGAAAGCTTTCGAACGCATGATCGTCTCGACATGATCATCACTCTCGAGTATCTGGTGAAGCTCCAGTACCAAGGCGACAACAAGCTTCATACGTTCAAGCAGACGTGGTTGGAAGTTCTGGGACGGATGAGGCCAGAAGACATACCATCCAAAACAGCTCTCCGTGATTGCTTGTACAGCAAGATCAAGGACTCGCCCGCAATGAAGATGGAGTTGGGCATGCACTACGAACACTTGCCCTACAATCATGAAGACCGATCGTACGACAATTTGATGAAGATCATTGACCGTACCATCATGCGGAGACGAGAACAATCAAATCTCACTCAGACCCAAATTGGCTTGCGCCAGATGCTTGAGGGCAAGGATTTGCTTGCTGCACCGGCCAAGGTACCTGAGAAACCAACGCCTAACGCAGCTCCATCCGCAAAGGTCAAGGCTTCGCCGACCAAGCCGGATAAAGCAACACCTGTACTACCTCAAAGCAAAGCGAAGAGTCATGCGAAGACCAAGCCAAAACCCAAGAAGAAGACGAGGAGTGAGTCAGCGGACAACAGAGGTGACAAGAGCAAGAAGCAAATCCGCTGCAAGTTCCATTTCACAGATGCAGGGTGTCGAAATGGTGACAAGTGCCCATTCAGTCACTCGAAGAAGACTCCAGAGCGACCCTTTACGCCGAGGACGAGAACTCCAAGTCCATCTGGAGGAGGAGGAAACAGGATATGCTACTCGTTCAAGAACACAGGCTCGTGTTCAAGAGAGAATTGTCCTTTCAAGCATGAGGCAGCAGCTACCCCAGCTCCGGAACCAAAGGCAAAGGCTAAAGCCAAATCCGAAGCGAAGGCAGCTCCAGCGAAGCCGAATGCCAAGGCCAAGGCGCTCCCTGCGGCACCCGCCATCAGATTGTGCCGAAGGTGGAATCCATCAGCTCCGGCGATATGGAAGCGATCTTCAAGACAAGATGAGGAGGAGTCAGATTGTCCATCCGTTGACAGCGACGCTGATTCGGATTG